TGCTTTCCTCCTCTATAATTCCTGTGTGCTGGTCTCTACCTGTCTGCTATGTCTTTTCTCTACCCCTCTATTTTTTAACCTCCATCTGCCTTTTCTTTCCCCCTATCTGTCCTCATGTTGGGCTCTTTGGCTGGGTAGGAGAATGGGCACAGTCTGCTCCTGTGTCCAAGGATTGGAAGGGCCTCCAGCACCCCACCAGTGTCTGCCACAGCTCAGAGTAGAAGCAGTTTAATGGCTCAGTTATCCAGGAAGGCTTCTGGCTTTGTCCATCACACAGAGCTCTCACCACTGCAACCATGACTCGTGACATTTGCAATCCTCCATTTGCCAGGAGATGCCACAGCATCCTCCCTGGCCTAGGGGGGTCTTTGCCAACAAGCAGACTCAGCCTGTCCTCTGGGAGAGCACCACTGGCCACACAGCTCTGCCTGGGCAAACCAGCTCCATGGCCCTGCCAGGAACCTGCAAGGAGCTGTGTCACACACAGGGAGACATTTCACCCCACACCTTCTGCCCAAACCCCTTGCACACCAGTCTGGCTTCCCCAACAGACATCTAGAGTAGTGTGTACTTCGAGAAGAAAATAACAGAGACTCCCAAGCTGTGCACACAACTTTCCTCCTGAAGGAAACATTGGAGAAATGTTCATTGTGCTGTTCAGTTCTCACTGGTGTATTGGGTATGAGAAGGGATAAGACACTGAAAGAATGAGCACATACTAGCTCAGGCAGCGTAGCTTCGAGTTATGGTCAGCTATACAGAATGAGCCTTTTTCTCCATTTCTTAAATAAGAAATGGGATTGTAATGCAGTGGCTCAGAACTGCCAGGGATAATTAATCATGGAAAGCAAGCAGTGACATAAAGATGAAGTACTAAAATGACAACTGTGATGGCATTGTTGGTGTATGATCAGGCAAAGGAATAGTATCAATGCTGAAGATAAATCTGTATGGAAACAGCAGCTCCAGCATTGCAAACAGCATGGTCGGTGTTTCCATTTTCTGCCTCCCCATGCCCACCAGAAGAGTCCTCCATCTCTGTGAAGTTAGAAACATTTCTAAGTTAGATTTTCACTAGGTCAGTGAAATAAAAAGGATTTTGCAGGCAGCTTTCTCTGCAGGGCCAGAAAACATTTGTGGAGCACATGAAATGGGAAGAGCTGGAGGCAGCACTTAGGCCCAGTCACTACATGGTTCGCAGCACCCAGCAGCTTGAGCTGCAGCAGCACTGTGTCTGGAAAGAACAGAAGGACCAATCCCAAATCCATCATTCCCAAATAATGCCCTGAAGTTTGCAAGGCCACAGGGCGAATCATGGTGGGGCTTCCCCCCTGCCTGGGCTGTTAGCCAGTCTTGTTCACCAGGGGAGGGAGATGGCACCCAACTACCAGCTCTTGTCAAAGCTGGGCTTCATCATTACCCTCTGGTAATTAATAGTCCAGTGCTTTTTTTTGTTTCTAGCCTATACATTAGCTGTACTCCCAGGGGGGTTAAACTGTCCCAGCAGGCCACTGGCTTCCCTCTCCACACTGCACAGATCCAAACCTTCCCCTCCAGACACATCCCCACACATTACAAAAACCATGCCTTTCCTTGGGTTCTGTTAACCAATTTTGAGAAAGAGCAAAGAAACAAATGACAAAGCATTGATTTATATTAGGAAAGCAGCTCCACAAGGGGCAACCACCTGCAAAAAGCCGCTTCTTAATTCTTCCTAGAGTGAGTCGGAGGTACAGAAACAGCAGTACAATAAAAGCAGCCCTTCCCTTTTGATCCATACTGTTTTAAATCTTGCATGCTACTCAGGAGGCCTTTTTCTTTCACAACCTCAGTGCTTTAGTACTTAGAAGTACCACTGGATCATTTCTATATATGGAGATCAAAAATCTCACCTCCAGGTTGTAATAGTGGAGGACAAAACAGAACCTAAAGGGAGCCTGGACACTGAGATATGGCCTAGAGACTACTTTCCCTCAACTTCAGGTCCTTGCAGAGCCAAAGTAACCTGACAACTGCTGCTGTCTAGGGACAGGGAGAGGAGGAGGGGTACAGCAGGAAGGATGAAGGTGACCATGTCCAGCAGCAAGAGTCAGTCTTGCATGTTCATCCCCAGCAGCAGCTGGATGTCACATCACACAAGGGTACAAGGGAGAAGGAAGAGCGTCACTAATCTTGACACTTGACATCTTAAACTAAGCAACATTAAAAACAGGTCATTCCTCTTCCCCAGGCTTGGAGTAGCTCATGCATTTCAACTCCACTCATGACTCCAAGACCAATTTCTAGTCAAGTCATCAAACTGGTATTTGGGCTCATGTTCCTTCTGACTCTTGGCTGTACAGCTGGAGGTGAGAGCCTGTATCCTGCAAGCTGAAGGGCAGAGCAGATTTAGTTAGCTGCACTTTCTGTATCAAAGGTTACGATATTAATTTCTTGTTTTAAGTACCCCAGCTCCCAGAGGAGATATATTGTCTATGTTGTGCCCAGCCCTTCTCTGTGGCTCCAAGTCCTGGGTTTACCCAGTGGGAAATCCTAAACCAAGATTGGAAATGCTGCTGTGGGTCTGGGCCGTGACTATATCTGACCTCACATTTCTGATTCTGTGGCTGAAGGCAGAGCATTTCCTCCATGCATGTAGGTGCCTCAAAAATAGTTTTGAGTGTCCAGGGTGAGAGGAGAATGGTTTGGCTTCCAGCCAAAATGAGGGTCCTGTGATCCAAAAGGGCTGTGCTTGGGGGTCTGCCAAATCAGCAAATGATCTGCTATAAAGCAGTGAGACAGAGCTGGCTGCACAGACAGGCAGCACAGTCATTCATTGCAAGCTGAGGACACACTCTATTGCAGTGAGACCAGTCAGCACGAGGTTGAATGGTTAGGTATCAATGCCACCAGCATTCCTGAGGAAATTGGGCTTTATGTGGAGTGGCAGGTTCCAGTTCCTAGAAACTGCTGGGATGTAATTGATGGTTTTGTACCACTTTGCTGGTATTTTGCCCAGTAGCTCTGTGTCCTCCCTCTGGCTGTGCAGCAGAGCAGAGCTCAGATTGAACATTCACACACATCTGGGATTCCCCGCTGAAAGGTTGCCTTCTTGGGGCATCACTTGGCCAAAATCACCTTTCTGCAAAGGTGCTCCCTGACCCTGAGGTATTAGAGCAGCAGGAACCCCACTACCAGCTCCGGGAGAGCTGCACGGGCACTCACCTGCTGCCTGAGCAGGCCCGAACAGCAAGGTGCAGAGAAGGGAGAAGGTGGCTGCTCAGGACAGTGAGAGCAAACTGATTATAAACAAGATTTGCAATGCACATGGACAGCCCTGACAGAGGCCTGGCTTTGCTTTTCGACAGCAGGAAGCTCTTCCATAGAGCAATACCCGTTACTGACTGAGTGGATTTAAGAACTTGCTCCACCCTCACTCAAGCTGACAAACTGTTGTCAGCCCCAGCAGCAGGTTCCTGCCCCTTTCCTTGTGCCTGCACCTGTACTCATCCATCCTGGCAGGAGGCTGCTACCAGCAGCTAACTTGGTCAAGAAAGAGATATTTAATTTTTTGGAATTAATTTTGTTAGCATGCTGGTTTCTCACTGGCTTAGATACAGTCCAGGGTTGTACCCTGTATCTACAAATCAGCAAAGAAATGAGGCAGCATTTTAAGGCTGAGTCTATTATTAGAAATAAAACATAAACCAGGCAGTGGTTATATTGCTTCGGTGATATACTGAAAGGATCACGTCCAAACTACACATTCTAAAATAATACTACACACTCACGCACTTTAAAATAAGATTTTTAAAAGGAGAATTTGCATCTACTATCAAAATAGCAAACAGCATGCTTGGGATAAAGGAAAAACAGAAAGGCTGTGATCAAAGCTAAACTGGACACATTAAAACACAGCCTGTTTCCCTTCCTGGGCACTAAGGACTCAGTCTTATCCCTTGATCTTGTGTATAAGCAGATAGTAAAATGCAGATATTATTGAAGTATGCCAGGGTATGAACATAAAACTGTCACATCTCGGTTAGTCACCTCTTCCTTTGCTACAGAAACTGCCTGTTGGTTGCCAGAGATACATACACAAACAGAGCAGACTCCTGTCTTCTCCTGAGAGAAATGAGCCAGCTCAGCTGGCTGCTACTGCAGCATTCAGGGAGTCCTAATGGAGAGGCATCAGTGAGGTCTGTCTGTGACAAGGGGTACAGAGAAGCAGGGGAAAGGCTGCAGAAGGGACCTGGCAGCCAAGCTGAGCCAGACCCTGCCATGCTGTTCTTTGGTGCTCTTGAAACATGGTCTGCCCCTTTCTCAGTGCAGTCTCTGCACCCATTTCTCAGATGGCACTTGGCTGACTAATCCTCGGAGCAGTGATGCCTTCTCAGACATCACCATGCAGATTTAAAGCAGTTGCGCCCCCTGAAGGAAAATCATCTGCGGAAGCATCTGCCAGCTGAGATGGTGTCTCCCTTTGGATGCATTTCAGACTGGGCTGCCACAGCTGTGCAGCACAGCACACATTGGCAAACCTGCCTCCTGTTGAGAGCCAGAGCCAAGGAAGGGAACACCAGCACACTCTCTCCACATGGGAGGGCCAGGCACCAGACCAAGGGGTTTACATAGTAATTGGCCAATGAGCTGGACAATGTTTTACATTTTAAGTGGTCAATGGGCCTTCGTGCAAAAAGTCTTTTTTGACTTTTTCTTATCCAGGAGGGAAGCGCCAAGCACTGCCAGGAGAGAGCACATTTTGCAGGAATGAAAGGAGAGTTAAGTCAGGCCAGCCAGTTAGCCCAGTCTGTGCCCTGTTGCACCTTTCATCATGGGCTTTGTGAGAGAGGCAGGCCTCTCACTCAGTGCTTTTATTCTCAGTATGCCTTAGACAAGTTCAATCTTATGAACTGATTACAACCAGCCTTGCCTTCTGGCTTTGCAACCACTCTGAGCAGAAGCACCCAGTGAATATATTGTGTTTTATGGGTTCTTCTGTCTTGACAATCTCATTTCAGACAAGAGTATCGCCCATGGACTGGAGCCAAACCATCCAAGCCTATAAAGACAAAACAAGGCTTCATTATGCCAGAAGACCATTTTGTTCAAGAGACAAGCTACAAGGCAGACTTTAAGGTAATTAACAGTTTTTAAAAATCCTAAAGTCAATGAGAGTAAAGCCCAAAGTGTACACATCAGGAACTACTCATTTTTTAGCAGTGGTGTGTATAGCCATGTCCTCACTGACCCCTCTTTCATCACTGCCCATTAGGTAATGTGGCCATCCCTTGTCTTCAGAGATATGTGCTAGACAATGTCATACTGTAACTGGTCATCATTCAACCCATAATTCAATCCCTCAGGTGGATACCTTATGTACAAGGTGTGTGTGTGCCATCCCCTCTCTGTGTGCAAGGTGCAATCAACACCCTCTGCCCTTGGAGAAGTCAATGGGCACCAGCACTAGGGCTGCAGTGTGAGATTCAGCCTCTGGTACCAACATCAACCACGGGCACAGGTGTTTGCATGGGAACCTTTGCAGATCCCTGCCTGAGGGACAGCACACACCCAGGCAGGGCAAAACTCCCCCGTGCTGTTGGGGGCGGAGGCTGCCCCTACTACCAACACCAAGGAGGACACAGCTGTGGTAAGCAGCCAAGCTGCACAGCTCTTGGGCCTCTGAGACTTCCTTGGGATCTTCCTGCGAGTTTCTACAACCCTCTATACCAGTGAAGATAATTTTCTTGTTCATGAAATACATGTGTTACTGAAAATCCCATGAGGGAATGTTCTCTCTGTACTCAGCATTTTCTCTGGCAGGGCCCCACACCTCCCCATCCCCACAAGGAAGGACAGTGCACACTGACAAGGCTCTGGTTTAGCTGCTTTTTGCATTAGACCACCAAGGAGAGCAGCACCTCACAGCTGACTGCAGAATTGGTTCAGAGGCTGCACTGAGTGATTCAGAAAGCAGAGATGGGGCCAGGGCTGAACTCCCCAGCCACAGTGTGCTGTGCTGTTAGAGGTAATAGCAGCTACTCCAGGGCCACACGTAAAAAGTAAATCTTTGCCTTGGAGGAGACAAGGAAGAAGTGTTTAATCAGCAGACAGTCAAGTGCCTCCTCCACAGAGGATTGCCAGCACACTGCTGCGACAAGGCACACGATGGGTATATCCAGCTCTGCTGCAAGTGGGACAGTGACCTCAGGCAAAACAGAATTTGCAAACCTCACCAAAATTTCCTCCTTGCTCTAAATAGTCTGGGCTGCTTACTGAGGTGCAGCAATGAGGATAGAGGGTATTTAACCCTTAAACCTTGTATTTTGATGCTTGTGAATTTAATTTTTCTTTTTGACCCTAGAGGGGTCAAAATACAGTGTCTTCCTATTTGGCAGATAGGATGCAAACGAGAGGGTCCTAGATGAACCCCTCGGAATCCCTATCCCAGTTCTCAAGGAAAGGAAAGGAAGACTGGAATCTCAGACACAAACACTTGCCACCCAGGACACTGCACTCTGGACCACGCAGCAAAGGTCTCGTGTCCTGGAGCCCCAGGGTACAGCCCCTCTCACAGACAGCATGAGAAAGGTGTAGTCAGGAACAAAGATGGTGCCAAAGAGCCACCAGTTCAAAGAGAAGCCAGACTGTCTCTGGTTCACACTTGACTATTTGGACTTTCCCTCTGGCCTGAAAGCCCTGGCTTTGCCAGACATATGAGAGTCAGGTTTACATTCTGTCCTGACAACCTACAGGGAAATGGCTCTCCCCAGCTGCTGAGCTGTGCACAGGCTGTTTGTGACATCTCATTTGTTCCTCAGTGTGTCAGATGCATCCCCAGAGGAACGGAAAAATCAGAACAATGAAATAATAACAACAAGATCAATAGCTTTCCCTTTTTCCCTATACTCTCTTTTCTTGCGGTCTCGCTCTTCTTTCTCTGCTTGGATGGTGCCCATCAGCATACCCAGCAGAGCTTTCCACCCTTTCATGTTTTATGGCCAGATTCACACAGAGTCCTGGGCTGGATGCACATCTATGGCCAGTGCTGTTTCAAAACCTTTGGGTTTTCAGCATTAAGGATGACAGAAGCATCCAGGTGTCCTTCATGCTTCAGTACAACCAAAACAGATACATATTGCATGTAATTATGACTCCACAGACACTAGAGAGAACTTATCTCTGCCTTTCCTTCCTCCATCCTTATCTGAGTCCTTGAAGTTTCACAGCCTGGCATGGCCTGTTCTCCTTTGGGTACTCCAGGTCTGCACCTCTGTTCACATCAGACGTAGATCATAGCCCCATAAAGCATTACAATGGAACATTTTGATGGAGTCCAGATGGCATTCTCCAAAAGGCTAAGGACCAGACACACACCACTGTAATTCCTCTCACTTAAAATCCAGCACCAGGCCAGCAGTGAGTTTGTTGTGATGTTTGTAGAGTATTTGCCAGCAGGGCTCGGTGAAGAGGCAGCTCCTCATCTTGCAGAAGCTGGCTCCAGCCAAGGCCTGCCCAGCCATGGTTATCCCCATCACACCACACACCTCCAAGTCCAAGGGCTGGGTTACAACTAAACCCCTCCTCACTGGCACAGCATCACAGCTGCCTCGAATCACCCTCCATGCCAAGGCCAGTCTCACTGATGCCCAGCCAAGAGATAACACTTGTTGGTAGTGGCACATTACAGGGAGAGCAGATAGATCCTCATAGCACTCCAGATCTCTTGGACTTTCTAGACAGTTGTACTCTGTGTCACACTAACATTTCTCTCTCCCCTCACCCCACTAGATCCCAGAGGTGAAGACCAGGTTCTCCCCCAACCCTTCTGCTGTTTTCCAAGCGCCATCGCGGATCCTCAATGTTTGAACCTGGACCCTCCTCGCACCCAGGCAGCTTAAACGCAGCGTTTCTGTTAAGAT